TATATAATATAAAAAAAATAAAAATGTAAATACGTTAAAAATAAAATTAAAAAAATAATTAAAAATAAATAATTAAAAAATATATAGATGTGTGTTATTTCGTTCTAACTGTTTTGTGAAATTAATATATATATATATATATATATATCAAAATACACGTAGAAAGAAATAATATATATATCTATATACATAAATATATACGTATATATCACTATATATATACCTATATATAAATAAAAATATTTTTTAAAAATTATATAGATATATACATATATATACACATACGTATATATATACATATATTAATTCTACATATATATTTATGTAATATTTTTACATAATTAGGTATCTTAATTAATTACAATTAGCGGGACCTGCCTGACAACCCATGCCGAAAGTAAAGGGAATTTAATTTGCTAGCACTATATTTAACCCTATAACTTTCCAAGACACCATAAAACCTGTACATGGGGGGTACTGTTCTACTCGGGAGACTTCGCTGAACACAAATATTAGTGTTTCAAAACAGTAAAATGTATTACAACGATGATATCGCCAGTAAAAGTGACGTTTTTTGCATTTTTCACGCACAAACAGCATTACACGGACAATATTATTGCTGTGATACTTTTTACTGTTTTGAAACACAAATATTTGTGTTCAGCGAAGTCTCCCGAGTACAACAGTACCCCTCATGTACAGGTTTTATGGTGTTTTCAAAAGTTACAGCGTCAAATATAAGGCTTGTGTTTCATTTTTTTCACATTAAAATTCGCCAGATTGGTTATGTTGCCTTTGAGACCCTATGGTAGCCCAAGAATGAAAATTACCCCTATGATGGCATACCATTTGCAATAGTAGACAACCCAAGGTATTGCAAACAGGGTATGTCCAGTCTTTTTTAGTAGCCACTTAGTCACAAACACTGGCCAAAATTGGCATTTTTTGCATTTTTCACACACAAACAAATACTAACGCTAACTTTGGCCAGTGTTTGTGACCAAATGGCTACTAAAAAAGACTGGACATACCCCATTTGCAATACCTTGGGTTGTCTACTATTGCAAATGGTATGCCATTATGGGTGTAAATTTAATTCCCGGCTACTATACAGTCTCAAAGGCAACGTAACCAATCTGGCAAATTTCAATTTCAAATGTAACGTGCTATATTTGACCCTGTAACTTCCCAAAACGCCATAAAACCTGTACATAGGGGGTACTGTCTTACACGTGAGACTTTACTGAATATAAATATGTGTATTTTATTGCAGTAAAAGCAAACAGTATTATGACATTGACCGTTAAAATGTCATGTAGAACAAAAAAAAAAAACGTATTTTCTCCCATTTTTTTCATATTAAATTATGTTTCATAGCTAAATATTTGATATTAAATGAAAGCCCTGTTTCCCCTGAATAAAATGATATATAATAAGGGTGGGTGCATTTCCTATGAAAGGGGTTTATTACGGTTGGACAGACATGTAGCGCAAATGCCAGGTTTTGTTTACATTTTGTTTTGTTCACAATGTGTACATTTGGCTCCGTCCTTAAGGGGTTAAGGGATAATATTCAAGAATAACATGGTTATCTAACTTGATTGCGTTCTATGAAGAAGTAAGTAGAAGTATAGATCAGGGTGTTGCAGTGGATGTGATCAATTTGGATTTTGCCAAGGCATTTGATACAGTTCCACACAATAGATTAGTGTTTAAACTCAAGGAAATCGGTCTAGATAAAAATGCTTGTTCTTGGGTAGAACATTGGCTTAAAAATAGAGTACAAAGAGTTGTCATTAATGGTAAATTTTCAAACTGGACAGAGGTGGCAAGTGGTGTCCCTCAGGGTTCTGTTTTGGGACCCCTTCTATTTAACATGTTTATAAATGATCTTGAAAAAAGCATTGAAAGTCATGTTTCAGTGTTTGCAGATGACACAAAACTCTGTAAAATAATACAATGTGAGCAAGATATTACTTTGCTGCAGAGGGATTTAGATAGACTGGGGAACTGGGCACTCAAATGGCAGATGAAATTTAATGTTGAAAAATGCAAAGTTATGCACTTCGGCATAAAGAATACACAAGCAACGTATACCCTTAATGGAAGCGAATTAGGGATAACAACACACGAAAAGGACTTGGGAATTGTTATAGACAACAAACTATGCAACAATGTGCAATGTCAATCAGCAGTGGCTAAGGCCAGTAAAGTCATGCATAAAAAAGGGCATTCATTCTCGGGATGAGGCCGATTGTGTCGGGTCCTCGGTCAGTGGCCAAGGACCCGTCACCAGGAGGGGACCCGACAGCTTGCCTGGTATGCCACCGGGTGCGAGGCCCCTCCTGGCTGCCTGGCCAGCCATCAGACACTGGTCTGCAGCTCCGCAGTGAGCAGAGCTCCAGACCATTTGTCTCACCAAGAACTGGCCAATCAGAGCGTTGCCGCGGGTTACCACGACAATGCTCTGATGGTCTCGCGAGATTACATGGTCTGCAGCTCTGCGGAGCTGCAGACCGGAAGCAATGGCCACAGGACCACCAGGGAGCCCACACTGGACCACCAGGGAAGAAAGGGTATGTTGTTTCCCCCCTCTCCCCATCAGACCCCCCTCTTTCTCACATCACCCCCTCCCTCAGCATTAACCCCCCCTAACTATCACCCCCCCTCACCACCCTCAGCATTACCCCCTCACCATCACCCCCTCCTTCAGCATTACCTCACCATCACTCCCTCCCTCAGTATCATCCCCCTCACCACCCTCAGCACTACCACCCCTCACCATCACCCCCCTCCCTCAGCATCATCCCCCTCACCATCACCCCCCTCTTCCTCTCACCATCAACCCCCTCTCCCTTCACCATCAACCCCCTCCCTCTCACCATCACCCCCTCTATCCCTGGGCTAACTCTCCTTTTTAAAACCTTCACATTTATCTAAAGCCTGGTTCCATATATCCTCATATGCAGAGGGAGTGCTGTTTTGAGTTAGCACTTCAGAAATAGAAAGCCACTTGATGGAATTATACCACATTTATTTAGATTGTCAGCTTGTTTGGACAGAGCCCTCACCCTATATGTCACACATTTTTTGTTTCAGCTTGCCGTCTATGCAGTTCCAGAACACCTTACCTGAGTCAATCCAAGCAGGAGAAATGCAACGGTCAAAGTCCGCATTGTGAAAGGATGGTTTTCTCTCCCAAACCTCAGACTTCACGCAAATGGCGTCCTGTGGAAATAGTTATTAGAATCAACAGAAGGTTTTTACTATGCAATACCCCACTGTCATCTGCCTACAGCAAGATTTCAGTCTTTAAGGCCCTGGGGCGATAGCGCAGCCAGACGGACAAGGGCACATGTAGGAGTGTGGGGATAGATGCTTGTGATTGGCTGTATGTGTGTAGGAGAGTGGCTGTATGTGTATATGGGTGTGGCTCTATGTGTATATGGGTGTGGCTGTATGTGTGTAGGGGAGTGGTTATGGGTTTGGGAATGGTGTAGGGATCATCTTACCTCAGTGCCTCTTGGGAGACAGGCCAGCAAACAACTTCCCTCCCACCCACCCTCTGTTCTATTTATTATTGTCTATGTCACAGCTAGCTAGCTAGGGGGGTGTGTCCTTGCCAATAGATTTTGGGGGCTATTACATGGAGTTTCAGGATATGGACAAGGTTGGGTCTCAACCTCCCCTGCTCTGTAGGGTAAACTTTTGAGTTACCGACTTGGACGTGTCCACCAAGCTAGAGGCTGGCTGGTGGGAAGCATTGAAAGGAAAAGGGAATTTGGTTTGGACGAGGGGGGAGGCGAGAACCCTGTGGCAAGTTGGTGCATAGGCACATAGTCTCAATCATTGGCAAGGACGTTGATGTAAAGGATGTAAAGTCTGTAGGGCCTAGGTGTTAATTTATATGTAAAGTTAGGGATTATTTATGTATTTCTCTGGTTATAATTGAATGATAAAGTTTAATAAATGTGGGCTGAGTCCTACAGTCTTATGTTTTAATAAATGCTGTTGCCTGATTTCACCATGGACAAATTGACAGCGCAGGTACGGAACACCATGGGCACTTTTTCAAAGGTGTGGCAACCGTGGGAGGAATATCAAGAAAGAATGGCGTGCACACCATGAGACACTAGAGCCAACCAAAGTGACACCCACCACTACACACATATGCAGCGGGCGCGCCCGGCGGGTCCCCCCCCCCTTTCTTTTTTTTTTTGATGGCCGCTGTCTCCCCGCCCTTCCCTGATACCCAAACTAATCCCGTCCTCCTCTCTTCCCGCCTTCTCCCCACAGAAGAGGGCAATTATGCACGGAAAATAAATAAAGAGGTGGGATGAGGGGGGGCTAACACACAAGCCCAAAGTATTATAACAATCTGAAACCAGGGGGGCTCGCAAGAGCAAATTACTAGGTATCTAACACGCTCTTCACAAAGGGGACTTACAGTCACGACAAAGGGTAAATGTATGGTGGGAGGAAGACGCAGCGGAGGGCCCAAAGACCCAACAACGGACAGGGCAAAGTGTAAATGATCAGATAATAAACAGTCAGCACAAACACGGCCCACGTAAGAAAAGTAATGCTACACTCAGGTGCCCATAGTATGGGGGCGAGGGGGGGGGTCGGGGGGTGGAGTGGGGAGTGAGAACAATAATAACTACGAGACGAATAGAATACCAGGTCATGACACTAAGTTTTAGAAGTTCGAGTTACCTTAGGAAAACACCAAATAGGGTGTTTCCAGGTTTTGAAGTTGATTGCGTTTACAAAAATGGAAAAACGCTGATGGACTGCAGCTTCAGTCAACAACAAAGAAAGCAAGAGCTGCCGCACAACAAATGTATACTTAACCAGATGATTAGCTTTTTCCAGTATCACTGAAATACCAATGTACCTCTTGCTGCTAGGCTTATGCACAAGCCCCAATAATGCTTTCAAGCTGTAATGTCTGTCAAAGCAAAAATAAAGAATTATAAAAAAATAAAAAAAATGCTGTGGCCTGTTCCATCCAAATTTGGTCTCTGTCGTTATTGGGGGTATTTGTGTAGGCTCCGTTATTCTTGTTTGCATCACATTCCCCGCTACATCCATACATGTCTCAGTAGCTAAACAGAAAATATATTAGGGTGACTGAACGAACGGCCAGCTGGAAGGTTCTTTAAGACAACTCGGCACAATCAGTTAACAAGTCCACTTAGAACAGAACATGTCTATGTCCATGCTCTCCCATCCAAAGTAAACACATAGCTTTCCTTCTAACAGATTTCTCTTGTAAGTGAATAGAAATGATATGGATGTTGTACAGACAGTAAATGCATCCATTTGTTTGAACAGTTTTGTCAATATCTATCAATCTACTTATATCTCCCTAAAAAAAATATTTTGTTTATCACCTGCACATCTCAGGTTGGACTTTAGGAAGTCCGACTTGGACAGAAATTCCCAAATATTATGTTTCCACAACTATCCCAGAATGCCAAGCTTGACATGCAAATGAGTACAGACATATATGGTATTTCAGACTTTTTATTGCATTGCTTCAGAAACCCGTAGCAACTATATACACTCTATACCGCATACAGTAACTATATACACTCTATGCCGCGTACAGTAACTATATTCATTATATGCCACGTACAGTAACTATATACATTCTATGCCGCATACAGTAATTATATACACTCTATGCCGCGTACAGTAACTATATTCATTATATGCCGCGTACAGTAACTATATACATTCTATGCCACGTACAGTAACTATATTCATTATATGCCACGTACAGTAACTATATACATTCTATGCCGCATACAGTAATTATATACACTCTATGCCGCGTACAGTAACTATATTCATTATATGCCGCGTACAGTAACTATATACATTCTATGCCACGTACAGTAACTATATTCATTATATGCCACGTACAGTAACTATATACATTCTATGCCGCATACAGTAATTATATACACTCTATGCCGCGTACAGTAACTATATTCATTATATGCCGCGTACAGTAACTATATACATTCTGTGCCACATACAGTAACTATATTCATTTTATGCCACGTACAGTAACTATATACATTATATGCCACATATAGTAATTATATACATTCTATGCTGCGTACAGTAACTATATACACTCTATGCCGCATACAGTAACTATATTATATGCCGCATACAGTAATTAAATACATTCTATGCCACGTACAGTAACTATATTCATTATATGCCGCATACAGTAATTAAATACATTCTATGCCACGTACAGTAACTATATTCATTATATGCCACATACAGTAACTATATACACTCTATGCCGCGTACAGTAACTATATACATTATATGCCACATACAGTAATTATATACATTCTATGCTGCGTACAGTAACTATATTATATGCCGCATACAGTAACTATATGCATTATATGCTGCATACAGTAACTTTATTCATTATATGCCACGTACAGTAATTATATACATTCTATGCCACATACAGTAACTATATACATTCTATTCTGCGTACAGTAACTATATTATATGCTGCATACAGTAACTATATACATTATATGCTGCATACAGTAACTTTATTCATTATATGCCACGTACAGTAATTATATACATTCTATGCCACGTACAGTAACTATATTACATGCCGCATACAGTAATTATATACATATTCCGCATACAGTAAATACATTATACAGTATACATTACTGTAAGCTTGTTTGGGCAGGGCCCTCATCTACCTATTGTTCCTGTGTCACTGTGTAATTGTCTCATTTATTGTAAATTTCCCCCCTTTTATAATATTGTAAAGCGCTGCGGAATTGTATATTATGCTAACGTAGTGTACCTATAATCTTAATTTTAGTAATGACAGGAGGCGAGTATTTGCATAAACTTTCTTTACTTTAAACTCCAGAAGCACAGATCAATCAAAAAATTTAAACCAATCAGAAACAAGTCATTACTACATATAGCTCTATGGTGCTTTCCACTCCTCCTTTCTTTGAAGCAAACTAATATTCCAGTGAACAAGTCCAACAATTACAACTCAAGTAACAATGTGGATCCAATGTAACTCCAAGAATCACTTGAACAGTAAGAATGTGATGAGTAGATCCAATGTATAATGCCAATTTTCACACTGAAAAGAACAGAAAGAAGTAAAAGGTAGTGAAATGACCATAGTTTATCAATATTATTATTTATTGGAAAATAACGTATTCATAATGTATTCATATCTGAACCATAAATTATATAAATGATATAATAGTAGATATCAACCAGCAGGAAAATTAGCGTGAGCAGCAGTGGGAAATGCAAACAAACAGAAATTAGATAAGACCAGTATAGGGGGAGGAAGAAGGGTGGAAAATATTCGCCTCCTGTCATTACTAAAATTAAGATTATAACTACACTACGTTATCATAATCTACAATTTTACCACATGACAGAAGGCTTCATATTTGCATTTTTAATGCTATAAAAGAAGAGCCATGATGCATGAGAAGGACGGAAATAGATGATCCGAAATATATCTTCACGAGACCAGCCAGCGGAACGCATAATGTCCACCAGTGAAGTCCCCTACGAAAAACCACACAAAGCCACCACACTGCATATGGAGTGCACTACAAACGTCGATTCGATGCCTACCAGTAACAGCAACCATCTAACCCATCTAGCGAGGGTCGTAGTTGAGACTGGTCCATGCGGTTGTACATAGCATACCAGTAATTGCCCGGAAGGGGAATGACGAAGTGAAGATGTAACTTCCACGTAGCGAAGGAGAGTTTTAACCATGCAAAGATGGGGCAAAGAAGGAAAAAAACGGATAAACCATCCCCGTCGAACGCCATAACATCCGATATCCTACGCAAGGAAACCAGACATAGCAGTAAAGTGAGCTTTGCTGACAGTTAACGCAAAGATAACAATGAGTTGTCTGGGCAATTTCAAAGGAAATTCAAAACCAACTCGAAGTTCCAGAGACGTGAATACTTCGGGCCTGGGGGGGCGAGACAAATGCATACCTCTCATGAGGCGACAAACAAATGGATCCTGTCCCACTGGGAGTCCTTGAATAGGGATGTGGGCTGCCGATATGGCCGACCGCATAACCGAACAGTAAGACCGATCCGATGAAAAAATAGCAGAGAGGATATTTATTACGACGGGGACAGGGTCTGTAAAGGGATCTGAGTCCCTCTCCAAACACCAGCTAGACCGTTTGTTTCAGGCTGCCAGGTAGCATCGTCTAGTACCTGGAGCCCACGAATCCCACAAGAGGTTTTTAGTCATCTGCAATAGTCCATTGACATCCCAAGATCCCCTGAAATCATCCAGGCCATGAGATGGAACCAATCTTGCAGAATGAGCGGGAGTGTCTCCCCTTGCGGATTGGATAAGAGGAGTGGTTGCGTGAGAGTTCCAATAGGTCCGGGAACCAGTCCTGGCTTGGCCAGAGGGGTGTGATCAGCAGTAGTGATGTTTGGTATGACCCTTGCCAACATGGAGAAAGGTAGAAACATGTAGGCTCATTGGTTAAGCCAATTGCCTCGCAATTCGGGTCTGGGAGCCAGCTGAAGAATCTGGGAAGTTGACGGTTCCTCCAAGAAGCTAAGAGGTCTATCCGTAGAGGACCCCTGTGCCATGCTAAAGTCTTGAAGACCTCTACATTCAGTCGCCAGTCACTGTTGTCCCTCCAGTGGCATGAGTACCAATCCACCGTGAGGTTGGAGGTCCCTGCAAGGTATTCCGCTTTTAGTGTGATATTCTTGGAGAGGCAAAAAGTGTAAATGTCTTTGGTTGCCTCTGAGAGTGCCTGAGAGTGAGCTCCCAGGCGGTTATATACTGCACAGCTGAAATGTTGTCCATGCACAGCAGTATACAACAGTTTGACATGTGCCTGGCTAAGCTGCGAATGGCAAAGGAGCCCGCTATCAGTTCCAA